TCTTCTTTCAGCTCCACAAAATGTTTGATTCAATTACTTTTTTTCCTTTTTTTTCGCATCTCCTAACCAAAATTAGATGGTTTGACTGATGGCTATATTGAGCGATGGAGGAATAACACAAGATGGGAAAAAGTGGCGAGATAAGAGGATGAGAGAGACAGAGAACAAAGAGGGGGAATTGCAGAGGGAATTGAGAGTGAGCGAAATATATATTGTGGTAGCTTGCTAGTTGTGGGCGTTTTATGGAGGAGTGATGCTGTTTTTTTAGTTTTTTTCCTCGAAAATGAGCTTTTTCAGAGTAGTACACATGCTCAATGTAAATTAATACCCCATATAAATCATAAGTTGGTGCATGTATAAGGATGAAAAATAGTTAACGTCGCATTAATTTCAGTTCGTTTTCCTTTTTCTTTTTTTTTTTGGTCGAAAAGAGAGCATTCATTAATTAAGAAAAGAAATACAAATAACAAATGATCAAAGCAAAAAGTGAGCAACAACCCAAAACATCAGGAGGCCCAACCAAACTTATGCCCAACAAAAGAAAACCCTAATCTCCAATACCGGTGAGCAGCCCGCCGCACCCATGATGCTTGCACCAAATCCTAAATCACCATAAGATTACTCTTGAAACACCGAACCAAATCAAACCTTCGAGATCCAAACCGTCGACAACAACACCTGCAAAGAGAACCAAAGAACCAAACAAAAAGAAAAAGAAAAAGGGGAGGGTCGAAGTGGGTGTGTAAAACACCCTTGTTACGACGCAAATCGTTCCACACTTCGCCCAAATTTTCCAGCAAGCCGGTAAGGCAAGGAGTTGTAAGGTGTGGATCTAGGGAACCAATCGGATCAAACACTTCAAGAGCAAGCTTATGGCTGAATGAGAAATGAAATTTGGAAAAGCATGGGGAAGAAAAATGGGTGGGAGAGAAACGGAAAAACACCAAAAACTGTCGAGGAAGCCAAGAAACGGGCATGAAACCTATATCTGAGACAAGTTTAGGGAAAATTGGGACCAAGCCCAAGGAAATCTAAGAAAAACTCAGTGGAAAGCTGGAAAGAGTGAAGAAGGGAAAAAAAGAGAGGAGAAATAGGGAAAAAAAAAAGCAAGAAGGAGAGGGGGGAAGAGAGTCGAGTGTGGAAGGCGTAGGACGAAAAGGGAAGAGGGTAGGAGGAGGAAAGGTGAGGATACCGCCAACCCAAGCCTTCTCAAGGGCCAGCGGCGAGGTGCTGCTGGGGTAAGTTTCTTTCACTAGCGTGTACTAACTGGATGGAGTTTTCTTGTTCCTCTAGAGAGTTATAGTTCGTTTCCTTATAGGTTAAGTTAGTGAGTGCGCTTAAAAAAAAAAAAAAGATCACCCAGTATCTTATGTCCCCCCTTTCCCTAATCAATTTTTACAAGTTCACTCACTTGTAAAATGACCAATAAAGACATTAAAAGATATATAATAATAATAATAGGTTGGGTGCGAAAAAGTAACAGGAGCCCTAAACTTACATTGGGTTATGAAAGGAATGAGGATAGAAGGAATTCTGGAACGTAGATGCCCTTCAATTAAAGGGTAAGAAGCTAGCAGCTGATGATGATTGAATATTGATGGTAGTTATCAGAGTGCATAATCACACAACATCAAAACATTTGGAGGGTCATTCATTTAGTGGTAGATTATTATCGGAGAAGACTTCATTGTTGGGGAAATAACATCTCAAATTTTTAGGAATAATAGTGTGCAGAAAAATAACATTTTAATTTTTTAAACTTTTTTATAGTGGGTGGGATAATAATGTAGGTGGAGAAATAAAACAATTGGATGATTCTAGCAACTCTCTTAAAAGAATATTTGTCACGTACCACTATGTAATTGGTTATATATGTTTATAAACACTTAAATCTAATTTTGTCAAAAAAAAAAAAAAAAAAAAAGAACACTTAAATCTAACGAGGATAGGAAAGAGTATAAACAAATGTATGAAAGAAATAATTATCCAAATAGAACAAAAAAAATAAAAAAGAAGAAATCTTCCGATGGAATAGAAGAGTAAATCCAATCCTATAAACCTAGGATAGGAAACTGATAACAAAATAGGAAATTTGCTCCGAGTTCTTATGTAAATCCTAAAGGGATTAACAAAGCTTATCAATCCTCAAAACTTTTGTAAGGCATGAAACATATTAGAGCAATTTAGCCTATTTTTAAGAATAAACAGTGCATTTTTTTTCTTGTTTTGCTTCTTCCCTATTGAAGTGTTATTTCACTTGTTGAGAAAATGAATAGCATTGAATCCATATTAGCATTGCTGTTCTTGGCTGAAGTGGCTAAAAATAGTTAGTCGTTTAAAAGGGCTACTAAAAGAAGCCAAACGATTACGTATAATAACACTGAGATTGCATCCTGTTAAATGTTGTTGTTTGGAAATTCATCCCAAGGACAAAAGGATCAGACCATTTCCGTTTAAAGTTAGGTGACCGACTAACATACACTTGAAATTGAAGATCACTTTGTTTTTTCCTTTCCCATTTCCCATTGCCGTGCTTGGAAAGTTCTGTTCTTTCCACTTTTTGCAGCAACCCTAGGAAATGGACCCTTCAGATCCTGAACAGATGGGATGGCTAACGTAGGCACAAATGGAACTGATAAATACACAACCAAACATTTTTTGGCATATCTTGATCGTGACCATATGCATGATCCCTTTTTTCTTGTGGATAAAGCCATATTCATCTATCAACTTTCGTAATTGGCTGACCTGACTTTTGGCATGGTTGAAGGTTGTAAAATTTGTATTTTAGATTATGATTTACTTCAATATCCTATCGTCTTCACTTAGTTTGAGAAGGTCTTAGATTCGAAATAAGACGAGTAAAAGACTTATTAGTGATTACTGGGTGTGTGAGAGACATATTGGTTGCTAATAAAAGTTATTTAGCACAGATAATTCGGATTCCAAATGCTAACAAGCCAAGCCCTAGCCTTTCACCCACCTCAATTTTGTGTAGCTAAAATGTCTGTGACTATTGCCATAAACTAGTACATTCTAATAAAGTACGACTCTTATAGTTATTGAACTCACACTAGTATAGCAGTAATGTTCTAAGTATATATTAAACTCAAGTTACTTGATTCTTATATATAGATATCACACTCACTCAAAATACTGTAGAAGACCTAAATTTTCCTATTGCTTGTACATAAATTTATTATTATTAATGATATCATTCAAAACCGTTCAATTAATTAATAGGTTGAAACACATTGATAAAGGAGTTTAAGACTAAATCTTACGAAAATATAATTGACTTCTTACATGTAAGTAACTATTTTTCTTTATAAAAAAAAAAAATCACACTTCAGCATGTGTGCACAATTTTTTTATTTTTTATTTTATTTTTTATCCTAATTGAGTTTTTTTAGCATATGTATTCTGCTATGATTTAAAGATAATTAGAATGATCTTGTACATTTTAAGAAGCCGAATAGTGCTCTTAAATTATTATGTTCAGAGACGAAGTGGAATTTACAAGATAATGACAGCAACACAACTCACATACATAGAGACAAGAAATTCTTCCACATTTTCCTCTTTATAGGATAATGCTTGTGAAAGTAAGTTGAATTGCATGATAAGTTCCCTATAATTATGCTAATTATCTATCCTAACACCAGGGAGCATTACTAATATACAAATGTACTAGTCCATGGCAGAGGAGCCAATATTAATATATTTTAGAACAGTGTCACCACCAGATAAAGATCGAGTGCTGTATCAGACAAACCAAGACACACCTTCTTACGTTGGATACCACATGCTGCGGCCAAAGTAAGGCTGCTGCTACTTCCCACGAAAGGTTTCTCAACCCTACTTTTGATGTCAGCCAAAACAAAGTGCGTTTGTGGGTGTATGTACTGTTAAAATTATGATCCCTCGTTCACGTGCGTTAGGGTCACTATGAGCATAAATAAATACATCAAGTGTGATTGACTTACATTCGTTAACATTAACGGCTCACAATTACTTATGTACTGTTTGTGGACGACTGATGTCAAAACATATGCATATGGTAAAGCATGCATAATTGCATATGGTAGATCAAGCATGTGTTAGAACTTTTTGCAGCTTCAATGTACGCTTTCCTAAAATTAATTTGGTCAGGCATGGTGTGCATACATAAGAGGCTGCAACTTTGATTTTCAACTAACAAACTGTAATATTATATTCCATCAGAAGACAATGTATATTTGATTAGTTTCCCCGCTTCTCAAACTTGACCCTTGCCGTCTGGGAAGGACTAAAATTAGGAGTGCTAGCTACTGAGTGGAAACTAGGGAAACCCCACTTCGATTCTATTTTAGTCTTCATATTTGGCCACTGTTTGTTTGCTTTATTGCCTTAGATTTAGTGCTTTGGTTCTTCGAATTGCAAGACAAATTGAAGAGTTTTCACTGCATTTGTGGCTGTGGATTTTAGCTCAAGCTAAAGCATACACTCAGTATTGAACTTTTGTCCTTAATTAGGGAATTGCAATGCCAAAGGGATGAAAAAAATCAGTTGAAAGCGGTAAAAGATTATAATTACTTTATTCTTAAGCCTGGAAACTTCTATCAATAAGAGTTATTTGATTTGCTCACGCATTATTTAGAATGCTAATTCTTTTATGTAAATGGCATCTCCAGAATGTAATGGGGCATGAAGATTGCACGTTTACATTTGACGGTTGGAGGGATAAGTTAATTATCACATCATGTTATAATCTTGTGTGATAAATTTTTTTTTTAGTATTCTACTCTATATTCACAAGCAATTCCGAAGTTGATGTACACAAGAGGGAAAAGAAGACAAACTCTAATCACATGAGTTGCCTCTAGAATGTAATGGAACATAAAAATTGCACGTTCACACTTGATGGTTGAAGGGATAAGATTATCATATCATGTTATCATCTAGTGTGATTAAAAAAAATTCTTTGGTATTCTACTCTATATTCACAAGTAACTCAAAAGTTGGTGTACACAAGAGAGAAGACAAACTCTAATCACACGAGTCCGCCTCACAAATTGTTAATCAAGACTGTTAGAACCTGGTAATCTCTAAATTAACACTTTCTCCCACAACCATCCCACCAACCAAACTTCAGTGGCACCATCTTCATTACTAGCGAATACGTAATATTAGCATCACACCAACCCATTCACTAGATTTGTACGTCCCCTTTGGAGACTTTCATGTATGGTTCCTAATACCAATTTTGCCCTTTCCCCTCACATATAACTCCAATTTCTCCACCAAACCCTCAACCCCCATACTATAAATCCCTCATCAAAAGCCTTACAGATAGCTAAGTAGTAGCTCTCTAGCTAGTGCAAAACGAAACAATATGCCAACCTTTCTCAACCACACCGACCGAGCCCGAGCCATGTGGCTAACATGCCTAGCCTCTGCATTCCGTACATGTCTTGCTTGCACCATAGTAGCCCTAACCACCCTCTATGGTCCACAATCTCTCCAACGCCAAGTAGCCTTCCCGGCATTCTCTTATGTCACAGTCCTTCTCATTGCTCCTGATGCAACTCTAGGGCACACACTTTGTGGTTTTTGGCTCGGGCTCTACGCCACAGCACAAACTATTGGGCTGGCCGTGTTGAGTCTATGGCTGATTGGGCCGGCCCGGCTTTCGACCAGCACGACCGCTCTGGCGGTGGGGCTTGCTGCATTTGTGGTGGCTCTGCCGGAGTTTACTCACTTGGTAACCAAACGCATAGCACTCGGACAAATCGTTATTATGTATGTTATAGCTTATATAAATGGGGGGCATACAGATGCTATCATGCACCCCGTCCACGTCGCAGCAAGTACTGCAATTGGGGTGTTGGCTTGTGTTTTGGCTTTGTTGATTCCCTTCCCGCGCCTTGCTTCTCGCGAGGTACTTGTAATTTACATACATCTGTGACCATTCGCATTTTGTTGTATAAAGTAAATATTCTATGTGTTTGAATATATTTTGCAGGTTAAACAAAACTCAGAGCTACTTGCCAAGAATGCTTCAGAAAGGCTCAAGATCTTTGTAAAGGCGTTTTGCGCAGAAGATAGCACATCAGCACTTGCATCAATTTCTCAAGCAAATTCCATGGCTTCCACGGCAACCAAGCTTTTCCAAACTATCAAAAGCCACCAAGTAAGTAAAACCTTATACATTAATTGCAAAACAACAATATATTCATGATGAATTAATGATGTGTATATAATTTATAACATGATTCAACAAAGCTGTTTGGACTACATTCTCATACCATATATATTGTGTATGATTAATCAATATAGATTCGACTTTCTTATACAAGTGGATCTAACCTCTTTTAGTAACGTGTCATGTAACTTTACGTGGTAAAAGTACGTAGTTCACGTAGGTACTTCTCAATAAAATTACCTTCACAAATCGGTCTCTCATTTCTAGTTCGCTGATCAAATCGGAATATGTTTTTCTTCCGTCCAGGAAAGCATGAAGTGGGAGAGAGTTCCGCTAAAGTTATTTTCAAGACACGGCTATGTAAATCCAGGAGATAGATTGCAGGGCTTAGAGATACCCTTTAGAGGGATGGAAATGGCATTGACCTGCATTCCTTCATTTCCAGTTATGGTGGTGAATGGAGAACTCAACAAAGATGCTCTACTAAGACTAGTAGAGCAGCACATGAGCCTAAACTTGAGCCCACCTTGTGATTCAATAACTTTTCCTGAATCAAAAGCAGAAAATGTTGGTTTCCTCCAAACACTTCAAACCATCCCAAATATCCACCAAGATCTACCCCCAATTTTCTTTTTGTTTTGTATCAATCTCCTCCAAGGAAAATTATCATCCAGAAGTAGTATTGTACCTGAAAAATTATTGGTTCACCAAAATGAAGGAGCAATTAACTCTTCCAAACAAAATGGATTGTATTTCACGATATGGAGTAACTTGTCCACCAAGGTAAGCGGCAAGAGGCTTATAGCAGCTTTCAAATGTGCACTCTCCTTGGGTCTTGCCGTGTTTTTCGGTCTGAAGTACAGCAAAGATGATGGTTACTGGGCAGGACTCCCAGTAGCAATCAGTCTTGCATCAACCAGAGAAGCAACATTTAAAGTTTCAAATGTTAAAGTACAAGGGACTGTTTTAGGAACTGTATATGGAGTTTTGGGTTGGTTTCTCTTCCAAAGGTTTATGTCAATGAGACTTTTATCTCTGATTCCTTGGTTCATTTTCACCAGTTTTCTCCAGCGTAGCCGAATGTACGGCCAGGCGGGAGGCATTTCAGCAGTAATTGGAGCTGTACTAGTTTTGGGGAGAACAAACTTTGGTCCGCCAAGTGAATTTGCCGTAGCCAGAATCACAGAAACCTTCATTGGATTATCTTGTTCAATTATCGTTGACTTATTATTGCAACCCACAAGAGCTTCTGTTCTTTCAAAAGTTCAACTCTCTAGGACTCTTGGGACATTGCAGGAGTGCATCAACTCGGTGAGTCTTCAACCAGGAAGAGCCAATTTGAAAGAGAATCAAAAGAGACTGAAAATGCATATTGAAGAACTTGGGAAGTTGATTGGAGAAGCAGAGGCGGAGCCCAATTTCTGGTTTTTGCCTTTTCATAGTGCTTGCTATGGAAAACTCTTGGGGTCCTTCTCCAAAATGATGGACCTCCTAGTTTTAAGTGCTCATGCTGTGGGATTTCTTCAACAAAACTTCCAAAGATTTGAGGCTTCATGTAAGGACATTGGACATGCACTGGATTGTGATCTTGAAAGTTTCAAGAAAATGGTTGACTCTTTGATAACATTCTTCAAGGAGGTCACGTCGATAAAATTACTCTCAGTTCTTGATCAAAAGAGTGATATAGCTCATGATCTTGAGTTGGGAAAATCTCGAGCCCCGAATATGTTTGGGGTTTGCAGTTCAGAGGATGAAGAGACAGATAAGATTATAAGTTCTTATCTCCAACACTCAAGGGAAGTTGTAGAGAAAATTGATGCTAAGAGTGAAGAGCTCAAGAGCCAAATGGTTTTGTGTTTAAGTGGTTTAGGGTTCTGCATGAGTAGTTTAATAAGAGAAACCAGGGAGATTGAAGAGGGAATCAAGGAACTTGTTCAATGGGAGAATCCCTCAAGCCACATTAGTTTGTATGAAATCTCTTGTAAGTTGTATGATTTAAAGAAATAATGTGCCTATGGCCACATGCATGCACTATCATTAGTAACAGAAATGACAAGTTATTCGTTTTAAGTGTTTTTGTTGAATTAAGTCATCAATCAGTCCATTTAAACATATAAAACTATACACACTCTCTACTAAAGGTGGATTTTACTATCAATCTTATATCCCGCATGAAATTGCAATCATTACATGAACGTACCCTATTTTTATCTCGAGTCAAATTAGAATGGTTAGATCAAATGATGAGTTTCCCATTAAAGATTGCTGGCGTGCCATTACTCGGCTTGGAATAGCTGTTGAAGACAATTTAATATGCCAAAAATAAAAGACTTCTAATCAAAACGACTGTGCTACAAGAAAAGAAACATCAACACATCTAAGTTCTTAACCTCAAATTAAATCAACCAAGAAAGATATAAATACATAATTTAACAAGGTGAATGGATCTCACCATCGATATGATGTAATCAAGGAAAATTAAGCTTGATGGAAGACAACCGCGCTCGCCTCCTTCATGGGGACTTTTGAATCTGATATATGACCAAAGACCAATCAAGAACCTTCAGCACAATCTCAACATCAAGCTGTCTAAAAAATTAACAATGTTGGTGAATCTCACCGTCAATATAATTTTCAAATCTCACTGTCGATATGATATTCAGTGCAGCCACAGAAAATTAAACTTGATGGAAGAATATTGTGGCCGTCTCCAGGATGACCCCATGGGGAGCACTATGACTGGAACTCCTTCGAGGGGAAGTTTAGATAGATGATCAATCAAGAACCTTCGAAGCTGCACCCGTCCGAGATCAATTGGTTATGCCTTTGTCAATTCTGTTGCAATTGTCACTGGTTGCCAACTTCAATTTTGTCCAAATCATATCACCGACGAAGTTAGCGATTAGTAGTTAGAGATTAAGTTACAAATTAGGGCTGGGTTCTGAGAACGCTTGGAGCGTGAAATATCAATTTGATAAGTTGGGGTTAGGCAAATGCCACTTTATTGCAACGCCAGAAAACAATTATGTCTATGTAGTTTAGTGCGGGTTATCGATCCCCACTCCCTAACAACTATATAATTTGCTCTTTCAAATTTCAATCATCAAGAAAACATCAAGACAACCTCAATGCCAAAGAAAATAATCGTGATTAAGTTCACAACTAGTATATGCCCACACACAAAGTGTGTGAAATTTTTGACTTTTGTTTTCTAAAATTGGAGAGAAGAAGAGAGTGAGAGAGAACCTACGTGAGAGTGAGGAGGGAGGGAGAGAGATTTGTTTTTTTTATTTTTTAAATTAGAAATGATAAAATCAACTATATGTGTGGTTTAAAAAAAAGCAGCAAAATTTAGTTTTGTGAAATTATGTTACTGTTCTTTTTTTTTTTTTTTTTTTTTGTTTGTTTGTGATAGAAAACAAAAATGTCGTTCCATCCTCTTTTGGTTGACAAATAGGGTTTCATAACGGATGAGGATCCTCTTTGTGGGGATTCTAGGGATCCTCACATCCTAACCGTTCATCGTACATCTTTCGATCAGTTTTCGTTAATTACTGTTTGTGTTCAATTTTAAATAATAAAATTCAAATTATTTATGACCGCACAATGTACGATGAATGACTAAAATGTAAGGATTCCTAGGATCCCCACAATTTGAATCCGGATGGGATCCAAATCCTTTCATAACATGTAGTTTAGATTAATAATAATCATCATCTCCTCCATTATAAACGGCTTAAAATTCATACAAATTAAAACTATACAAGCACAATCATGTTAAATAATTTTATTTACTAACCATTCAATCAACTTACTAATCACACCCTCCATCTTTGATGCGCCCCTGCATTTTCCACATTATGAGAAAAAATTGGAATGAAATTTATCAAAAATAAGAACGAATTAGAATGCAACATTACATTCCTATTACAATGTTTACTGGAAATTATTATACCGACACGCGGTAAGTCTCCCTCATGTACCGTTTTATTAGTTAAAATAATACCACAACTAATTTTCATCTAATATAAAACGTGAATTGATTATATTACGTAGCTTGTATTGATATCAAATAATAATTTGATTTCTTGGTAATAGAGCTGAGGCAAACGGTCTGTTGCTCGTTCCTCACAGACAACTCTAAACTGTTAATGTGAAAATTGGCTCAATTTAGAGATTTCTTGATTAGAGAGTCGAGCAAAAAGTTTGTTTCTTACAAATGTCTTAATCGACTCAAAGTCGTAAATTAGAGACGAGTGAGTGTATATAATACCATGAATACTCATAAATCATAACACAAGGTATTTACCCCGTTTGCCCTTAAAAGAATAATGTTAGGGAGATTAAATTTGTAGACAAAGTTTTGAAAATTAAAAAACATAGAAGTTGATAATTGATTTATTATTTACACGTTGATAAATGTGTTTATTCTTATTGGTGACACATCATTTAGCTTGCAAATTGAGTCTCCAAATTTGGTCTCCGTAGCATTACCCTATAATTAGGCCTCATTCACTATGTAGTTAGGCTTCATTCACGTAAATGTTTGGCATTTTCATTATAATGAGAGGTTAAGGATGTGTTACAATGAGTTTGGCATTTTCATTATCTTGACCAACATATATATATATATATATATATATATATAAAGCCTTTAAGGGAAGGGATCCCTATTTTTATATCAAACTTTGATGATCCGAATTGTCTATTTTTCAAGTTGCACATTATAGATCATCCTTGTTAAATATTAGCCAAATCGGAATCATTTAAGACATCTAATTGGGTTTAAAAAAATTAACAAATACTTTGTTATATAAAAAACAATGAAATTTATTTTGATAATTAAATAGGCAAATGATTTCGGATCGAATTGAATTTTTACAAGGATGATTTATGAATCGAGACTTACAAAATAGATGATTCAAATCATTGAAGTTCGGAATGGGCAATACACCAAATCCCCATTTTTTGAAAAAAATGAAAATTCATTTGCATAAAGCGCCTACTATGTTTGCTAGCTTATCAACAAGATATATGGTGATGCAGCATGAAGCTAAGGAAAAATTTTAAAGGACTCTGGAAATTAATTCGACATTAATCAAACGACAACTCAAAGGTAGGATTTTTATTATGGAAATTTAAACTACGTTCTAAAGGCTAAAACGACATTGGATGGCCAAAATATATCACATGTCACAGCATATCAGTGAGTTTTAATTGTAGCGTCGTTCCCTTTTCGAAAAAGTATCATGGACCTAAATCGGAGCTCAAACGTCAAATCTACAAATTCCTACTACATCATTTTGCCTTCCGACGGTCCATTTCCTCTTCAATCCATTCGACCATTTATTCTACATCATATGGTGTGACAAGAAGCAACCTACAAAATTTTTATTGGAACTTTTCTTTCTTTGTCTTGCTTGCATATCATAAGGTCTCTTAGAAATGGTTTGTTTAAGACATTTAGGTGGCCGAATAGTTCCACTCATGCACTTGAAATTGAAGATTACAAAATTTGGTACACTAAAAGATAAGAATAGGGATTGGAAATACGGTTTAGGGTTTAGGCTAATACACAAGTATCACTAGTGATGAGTCTATATTATACTATTTATTTTTATCCTAATTTTAGTATTAATTTATTGATTATTTTGGTGAGATTTTGATACTTTGAATTATATTTTTAATGTAGGACATTTGACTTCCTCTTGAGTGTAAAGTAATCAAACGGACGAATTTTGGATTGATTCTAATTCGAGGATGTTCGTGAATCTTTCAAGTTGATTGTATCAAAGTTTCAGATTTTTTTTACCAAGCCGTTTCACCGTGGCAAAGAAATAAAAGCCCAACACGCAGTTTTCCCACATTGATGTTTTTGGATGTTTTGGGTATTTTGGAGGTCAAGATGGTATATTTTGAGGAAGATTCCTTCTGGGGATTTGTTAGGGACGTCTCAAGCTTTTTAGGACCGAATCGGAGTTGATTTGGTCTGTCATAAATATAATTTTTTGAGAAGTCCAAATTTCAGTTCAAATAAGAAACCTTTTATATGCTAGTTTATTATTTTATTATGTTTCCTAGTTTTATTTTAAGACCTTTTCCAGGTAGGGTTTTATTTTGTAGTAGTATAAATAAAGCTTTTTAGCCATTAGAAAAAGATGCATCAAATTGGAGAACTTGGCTAGGGTTTGACAATTTGTATTTTCCTTTCAAGGTGTTTTCTATCATTTTTTTCTATTTTTAATAAAATTACTTTTGTTTGTTGGTTGTTCATAACTATTTTGTGTTTGCTAGGGCGAGGCCACTAGTCTTAGCATGAATATGTAGTCTTTATTCAATTGCTTATGATATTATGGATGCTTGCTTTAAATTATTAATCACTGTGTTTAAACTGTCTCTATGTCTTAATGCTTAGGTACCATTAGAATGTTTAGATAAGTTATTGGATGCAATTCGGTTGGAATATCACCGGAGGATTGAGTATTGCTTCTTGTGGTGAATAATTGTAATTTCACCTAAGGTGAATATCACGCTTTTAGGAGTTGCATGGTTTTTCAAAGGGTTTTCACAAAACGGAATGAGTCTTGCATGTTCATATTTGATTTGAATATCACAGACAGATTGCATGTTAGATATACATTCTTGTGTTGAATATCATAAGGAGAATATGCATTAGGAAAACCTAACCTTCAAAGTTGCATGTGTAATTCATAAGTAATTGATAAAGTTATATAAGATTGTTAAGGTGGTGGCGGAACTCTAGGTTTTTACAATTTGGTTTTTAAAACGCTTTCTTTAGTTTTTCTTACCTTGATGATTTCTTAAATTAGTTTATTTTAAATTTGTTTTTATTATTTTAAATTCCAAAATCAATCTTTTTCAAACCTTGTTTCAAATAATTAACTATTAATTAGTTTAAATACAAATTATTCATTCAATCATTGAGGAAAACGGCATTGCTTGAGCTGCTATACTACGATAACCTTATACTCTTGCAAGTATTTTTTTGTGTTTTTATCCCTACTTTTGTATATGTAGTAAAAATCCTATCAACTAGCTTTTTTACGTGTTTCATCACAAGTATCACTATCTTGGTGCTTATAATGAAGCAAACCTTCAAGAAATTATATGTTGTTTCAAGTTTCTTCTGTAATAGGTATTCCGTTGCACTGCAGTAAA